CTGTCTCTCACTCTCTCTGTCTCTCACTCTCTCTGTCTCTCACTCTCCCCCTCCCCTTACTGTTTCCCCCCACCCCCTCCCCCACACATACACATTTTCTCTCCCTCATACACACACACAGCCGTGTAAATCTAAGGGGTGAATTTGTATTTGCCGATGCATTCTATTTAGTTCAAAAATCACATAATTTATAGACAGTCAGTCAATGTGGTGTTATTTAAATTCCTACTTTAAAAATAAAGCCAGTCTGACTCCAAACCAAAACACAAACAGATTCTAAACAAGGCCTCACACCCAATATGCATCGTCTGACCTGAAATGTCACCTCTTCTTTACACTGATAAAACCTTTAGTTCTCTCAGGGCAGTGACTTGAAAGAAATTTGGGGATTTACACATACATATTAATCAATTAAAGCCTTCTAACTGATTAAAGATTTAACAGCATCTTAAATTTGTTTAATACATCCTCATCAGTTGTGTGACTCTTTGATCTTTTATTTATAAACTGTGTCTGGTGCCACCTCTCTCACTAACACCTGAAGAAGGAGTGAGACTCCAAAAGCTTGTGTTTTCAAATAAGCCTGTTAGACTATAACCTGGTGTTGTGTGATTTCTCACCCTCTCCACCCCCAGTCCAGCACCTCCACATCCTATCCCAAGATGCTGCCAGACCTGCTGAGTTTCTCCAGCAACTTCATCTTTTATTTCAGCCTCACAGCTTTTCTAAAAATGCTTCAAATAGTATTGCTTGCCCAATCAAGATTGTTATCAGTTGGAGTTTGGACTCCTTACCTGACTTGGCGGGGGAACAGTGCTTTCAATTAAATTAAGATGAATTAAGGTAAGAAGGCTGCTCAGTGATCCTGCAGTCTTTCAAATGGACTGGGATGGATTGTAAACAAACAGGCTGATTTCTCTCATTTGGATTCGGTGCCAGAAGTTCAACGTTCACATTGATTTTGTCCTTTGGAGTTGATATCCGAACATCTTGCTCATTGTTATGGCCCATATCTTTTATGATTTATGATCTTGATTGTGTGTGTGGAGAGCACAAAGCTGTACTAGAACTCCAGCATTAATTTTTATAACCTATTGGTTTTCAGAGTTGAAACTTGGATTATGTACATGTGTCCTGAATGTCACCTCTAGCTTTGTGTCAGTGAAGGTTGACAAAAGACTGTTTCTTCATATTGTGTAACATACTGCGTAAAAAATATAAGTACATGTGTCCATTCATTCTATTTAGTAATTGTGCAATTAGGAAATGTCTTAAACTCAATTAATGATTCCTTATGATTCCTTGTGATTCAGGCTGGAGTGTGTTGTCCAAATACAAGTTTGTATTCATACGATAAATATTTTTGTTCTATAATAGAAGCTGTAATCAAAGCAAAATCCCTCTCTAGACTGTATACATCCTTGCTCTGGTTAATCTAATTCGTTCACAACCAGGGGAATAATAGGAACTCCATAATTTTAATTAATTTGCTTTCACGGTACGGGTAATGCTGGTAAGGTTGCATTATTTGTCTGCTGGGAAATAACTTAGCAGTTTCCTAAGTCATTTCAGCGGGAATTAGGAACCTCCAAGTAATTTAAGTCAAATTGAACTTGAAACCCCTAGCTACTCCAAGCCTGTTGAGTTTCTCCAGCACTTTGGTTTTTATTTCAGATTTTTTGGCATCTGCATTATACTACTTTTATTACCCATGCACTGTGGGACAGAGCAAATAGAATGCCTAAGGGACACTAGCCAGTTAATTAGGCTTTCACAACAATCCGACAGCTTTTGCTGGTATTTCTTCTGGTGCTGTCTCATGAGTTTGTCAAAATGAGTGATACAACATGTTACCAGAGTGGGGTCTGAAATCAAAACGTCAGTGAGTTGCTAGTCCAGTACGAAAACCACTGTTCTACCAGCTTCCTCCTTAATCTAACCTGGTCTTCTGCAGACTCGGGTAATCAGACTTCAACCTGTGCACGTTAGATGTCCCATGAGCTCTGCCCTGTCCCCTGATCTTCGTGCATCCTTTGTGAGCTTTATCACATTACATAGTACCCAGTATATATTGAAGAGCATTCATTTTCGAGCAACCTCCCAACTTGACAAATTGGCCACCTTGATGGTTCAGCTGTGGAACAGTAAATATTAAAAAGGGACCAGTTGACCCTGATAGCTCAGTGATATTCTTGGGTATCTCCATTGTATGGTTTCCCTCACACTTGCATGTAGCCAGCTCATCTGTTAGAAGCTGTTTGAGTTGTTCTGACTAATTAACATGTTAACACAAATCCAAATTTGGGTTTGATAGGACTCTGGCAAATTCTAACTTGTCTGTATTTCTCTTGTGCACCAGCTCAGTTATAAATAAGTAACATCTAGCCAGAATGTGGCAGTGTAGTGGGATAAACAAGAGTTTAGTGTACAACACAGATGATCTTGGATGTACTATGGAATGATTAAAAGGTTTTGTATATATATATTAAGGTGCGAGTTCTAAATTATTGGGAGTTTAGACTGCCTTTGTCACGTGGACACACACTTAAAATCCTGCAAGGTAACCCAAACCACAACAGACAGAGCCACACACTAGCTAAGTTCAGAGTAATATTGTATGTAGCTGAGTTTGCTGTTTATGATCACTTACTCGAGCTATTTCACTGCAGTTTATTGGTTTTCCTTTTACTGTGAAGAAATGATTTGGCAGTACCAAGGCTCACTCTGTGCTTAAATAAAAACAGAAATTGCTGGAGAAACTCACAACTGACAGCATCAATGGAGAGAAAGCAGAGTTAACATTTTGGGTACAATGACCCTGCTTACTCCATGTTGATTCTTGCTGTTATAACATTAATATACATTTTCCTCTTTAGCATCTTGTGGCTGCAAAATGGACCCTCTGGGATACAATTCTGGAGCTGCTTGCAGCCTACATACCTTAACTAAAGGTCGTTATTATGTATGAAGCTAGCACTGACTGCTAATTTAACTGGAGGACATCACAGCCTAGATTGACCCAGTGTGTTTTAAAGAAAAATATAAAACAATTCCAGAGTGGGTCCCTGGTCTGTAATTGGGTCCCTCTGGCCAAGCTCTAGTAATAATGGGCTAAGGAGGAATAAAGTAGGATAGTGGTTTTAGTACCAGACTAGCACCTTGGATGTTGTTCAGACTCTGCCCTTTTTATTCTTTTTTTGTGAGATGTGGGTGTTGTTGTCATTTAAACTCCTCCAGCTGCCATGGTCACATTTGAGCCCATGTTCCTGGAGAATTAGCCAGGGCTCCTGGATTACTAATCCACTGACACTGCACCACCATATGTGATGTTGAATTAAATAATACATTTGTAGAAAATTAGTGGCATCAGAAAAATTACTATGAACGCTTCCAGATTGTTGTGTAATCCTAATTAGTTGGGTAATGTCTCTCGGGGCTCTACCTGTTCTGTCTTGCACATGTTTCCAGTCCCACACTACAAGGAGGCTCCTAAGCCCCTCTGAACTGGCTTAGGAAACTATGTAGTTATTTCCAGGAGACAGTTAATGCATGCAGCTTTAACAGCATTACCCATTACCCAACACTGAGCTCATTAAATCCATCGTGGTTCCACTGTTAATTTGGCTGTGACTGGCTGACCTAATGCAGAGTAAGGATTGGACCTGGGGTCTTTTGCCCTTTATATGGGTCTGATATGGTTTTTGGCCCCTTTATTGGGAACTCGACCATGGCTTTAGTTTTTTTTGTAAGGTTTGAAATAGTGGGTCATGGAAACTTGCTTGTACTGGTGTCAAAAGCAGTGTCTGCTGATAAGTAACTTGTGCTGTTTCCTTCTTTTTCCAGGATGCTTTTGTGCAACTGTATGGAAATAACGCTGCTGCTCGTAACCGTCAGTTGCAGGAATCCTTTGTAAAATGGTTTATGGCACTTACAGCTGTGGGTGCTACATTGGCCATTGCTGCATTCTTCGCCCGGAGAAGTTAACGGCAATGAGACTGCATTAAGAGGCAAGCATTGGTCGACAGCCATTATATTGGAAGAATATCTTAGCAGACTGGCATAGCCATGAAAGCTGCACAGATGGATCTCAGCTTACCCCTTGTGTTGGAACTCTCAGCTGTTTGTACATTGCGTATTGTGTATGTGTACTCAGTTTACAATTACAAAGCATTCATGCAGGTGCTGTGACAGAAACGGAGATTATCTGCAAGTAAATGAACTACATCAGTAAGTAAAGCTAACTTTTTAATTCAGGAATATTATAACCTGGAGTGCAGGCGCTGACCAGCAGCTTATACAGTGAAGATCTCTATTCAGTGACATGGCTCTGTGCCATATTGGCAAAAACCCACAAACATGGCAGCCCCCTCGCTGTGCTGTGGTGTTTATTTGAGATGTATCCTGTCTGACGTGACTGAATAGAACAGAAGAAAAGCCAAGTCGCTTGGATTCCAGGGGAGGAATGGGGTTACAGTAGCCTGCGAGAAAGCTGCTGCTTGTTCTGGGAATGCCAATGGCTTACTACAGCTCAAAATCAAAGGAAATGTGGGCAACACCCTCAACATAAAAACTGCACCCTCTACTGGAAGCTGCTGGGATAACCTAGGCAATGGAGCAGAGGTTTCCTGTAACTGAAGGCTGACTGACATTTTATTTATACCAAATTTTAAAAATTTTTTGTTACCTGCTGAAGTAGTGACGTGGTGCTTGAGTGGGGTGGCCACATCCGGTTTTGGCATCGGGCCAGTGCCATCCAAAGCCTCACTTTGGGCTCCCTGCATTCTGGCATTGTCTTGATGGTATACTGCAGGAGAATTCGACCGTCTTGTTTGAACTGAAGTTGAAGCTGCCACTGCTTCTCTGCAGGAACGAAAAGCAAGACTTTGGCCATTTTGATGATGATGTGAAGTGATCATTTGGGAAAGGTTTTGTGGCACATGGGTGCCCATGTTTCTTGAATGCATCAGAATTATTTTAAGGTTTTCCGCTGTCATGTGTGGATGTTGAAGGTGTGACTACTGGTCACTATTATTCACTGTAATCATTCCCTTTTAGTTTGCTGCTCACACCACATTAGAAGCAAACTACTTTACACAATGTCTTAAAATTTAAATTAAAATGACTTGTTTTTAAAACACTAGAGCACTGCCTTCTGATGTTTAATTTTGCCTTTCCTTTCTGATTCTGTTGATGGACAATTTGCTGAAGAAAGCATCTCAAACAAATGTTACGAAGGAGAGGTTAAAGATCAAGCCCCTCTGATAATTAAACCGAAACACCAGCCCCAATCTGTTATGACGGGAGTAGAGATTTCCTTCTAATAATTAAACCTGAAACACCCAGAGAAGCTCACCTTGCCCCTCGTAATCAGTTAAAGGAGTTAAATGAAAGGAATCCCAGATACTCACTTTATAAGTAACAATTTATTTATTTAACCCTGACAGTGAACAAATTAACAGAATTACTAACAAACTGAACAATCCCACCCCCCCAACCACTTACTATTCCCTAACTGAACTAAATTCTACTGGTATGCTGTTCCAATAAACACAGGTCCCACTTACATAAATCCAACTAATAAGAAAACAATAAATTCAAACTTAGCCTTTCAAAGTTCGCACAGAATGTGTCTTCTGGAATGCACTGCCTTCTCCACCATCTCTGCAGCCTTTCTTCTGCTGACCCTGCTGTCGGGGATATTTTCTCTGTAATTTCTTCTGTGAGGACTCTTAGAAGTGCTGTGGTGCCTTTTTGTGGTGCCTTTTTTAGAGAGCTTAGTGATGAGCTGGGTAATAATTCCTCAGATGGCGGATTTACTGTCACCCCTTCAGACGGCAGTTGGCTCTCTGCCGATTTTCCAAATGCCCTCTTTTTTTTTTTAATACCCTTGATCTGTCCATTTCTTATACTAGGATTGGTCCCCGGTTGTCAACACTTCCAGATTTAATTTCAATTGGCTTTCAATTTCTAAGTACTTGGTTTAAGTTAATTGGCTGGTTCAAACTAGTTGCCAAAACATCAAAACAAGCCTAAGGTTTTCAATCACACAGCCAATTGATACATGTTTCAATATTTAGAACTGTCTGTAATCTGCATGCAGACCCACTTTCTGTGTAAATCTCTAAGCTTAGAAAAGCACTTTAGATAGGTGAACCTGACAGAGGTATAGTTCCCTGGCTTTTCCTTGCTATCTTTCTTAAATAGTAGCACCATGTCATCCAACCTCTGGTTTTCCAGCACCTTGCAGGTGGCTATCAATGATAAACACATTCTTACTCTCTTGAAACTTGCTATTGAATACACTTTCTCTGTTTTGCTTTTTTTTTTAAACAAACAAATTCTAGCTTCCTGCCTTCTGTTCATGATCAATCCACACAATTTCGTAACACAAGCCACACTGTAACAAGTAGTATCTGATTTGGAGCAGGAGACCTGATTGCTTCTGTCTCTGGGTTGCAAACTCTTTACCCACAGTGCAGTAAAGAGTCGTAGAGCTGTACAGCATGGAAACAGACCCTTCGGTCCAACTTGTCCATGCCAGTCAGATATCCCAAATTAATCTAGTCCCATTTGCCAGCATTTGGCCCATATTCTCCTAAACCCTTCCTATTCATGTACCCATCCAGATGAATTTTAAATGTAATTGTACCAGCCTCTTGCACTTCCTTTGGTAGCTCATTCCATACAGGCACCACCCTTCTGTGTGAAAAAGTTGCCCCTTGGGTCCCTTTTAAATCTTTCCCCTCTCATCTTAAACCTATGCCCTATAGTTTTCGACTCCTCAATCCTGTGGAAAAGACCTTGTCTATTCACTCTCTCCATGCCCCTCATGATTTTATAAACGTCTATAAGGTCACTCCTCAGCCTCTGACACTCCAACCCTGGCAACATCATTGTAAATCTTTTCTGAACCCTTTCAAGTTTCACAACATCTTTCCTATAGCACGGAGACCAGAATTGCATGTAGTATTCCAAAAGTGGCCTAACTAATGTCCTGTACAGCTACAACATGACATCCCAACTCCTATACTCAATGCAATGACCAATAAAGGCAAGCATATCATATGTTGCCTTCACTATCCTGTCTACCTGGGACTACTTTCCAGGAACTGTGAACCTATACTCCAAGATCTCTTTGTTCAGCAACACTCACCAGGACCTTACCATTAAGTGTATAAGTCCTGCCCTAATTTGCCTTTGCAAAATGCAGCACCTGACATTTCTCTACATTAAACTCCATCTGCCATTCCTCAGCCTCTTGGCCCATCTAATCAAGATCCCATTGTTCTCAGGTTAACCTCCTTCACTGTCCACTACACCTCCAATGTTGGTGTCATCTGCAAACTTACTAACCATACCTCCTATGTTCACATTCAAATCATTTACATAAATGATGAAATGCAGTGGACCCAGCACTGAACCCTGTGGCACATTGCTGGTCACAGGCCTCCAATCTGAAAAATAATCCACCACCACCACCCTCTGTCTCCTATTTGAGCCAGTTCTGTATTCAAATGGCTAGTTCTCCCAGTATTTCATGTGATCTTACCTTGCTAACCAATCTACCATGAGGAACCTTGTCGAACGCCATACTGAAGTCCATATAGATCATGTCCACCAATCTCCCCTTATCAATCCTCTATTATTTCTTCAAAAAACTCATCATGTTAGTGAGACACAACTTCCCGCGCACAAAGTCACGTTGACTACCCCTAATCAGTCCTTGCCTTTACAAATAAATGTAAATCCTGACCATCAGGATCCCTTCCAACAACTTGCCCACCTCTGTCAGGCTCACCTGTCTATAGTTCCTTGGCTTTTCCTTACCATCTTTCTTAAATAGTAGCACCACCATGTTATCGAACCTCCAATTTTCCAGCATCTCACTGGCAGCAATCGATGATACAAACACTCTCTCACTTGAAACTTGCTATTGAATCTACTACACCATGTTCCCAATCAGTGCTGTCAAGTTCACAACAACTTGTTGGGTAAGTATTTTTGCTCGTCTGCATCTAATTCTTCTGTTAATTGGTGGAGTTTTACCAATTTGGTGCAGAGCAGTGGTTAGGTCTAGACTACGCTGCTTTCTTGTGTTTACATTGAGTGTACGTTTTTTGATTTGAGATAGACTAATCTGGAAGAGAGCAGTGCTGAAAAACATGCCCTCAGCTTAAATTCCTAATATGGAGTTACCATGATCTCGCCTATGGAGGGCGTAAGCTGCAGAAAGAGGAGTTGGCTTTGTGGAGAATGCCCATGTAATTGCTTTTGATAGAGTCATAGAATCCCTGCAGTGCAGATGGAGGCCATTTTGCCTATCAAGTCTGCATTGACCCTCTGAAGGGCCTCCTCCTCATCCCCGTAACCCTGCATTTAGCACCTAACCATTATCCGCCTAACCTGCACATCTGGATGGAAACCAGAGCACCTGGTAGAAACCCACGCAGACACTGGGAGAACATGCAAACTCCACTCATACAGTCACCCAAGGATTAATCGAACCCGGATCCCTAGCATTGAGAGGCAGCAGTGCTACCCACTGAGTCACAATGCTGCTATTTTGTTTAATATCAGAACACTTGGTGCAGTTATGCAAGTTCAAGAATGCTTCCTCCCAAGGAGGTTTTTCAATACTTTGTTTCCAGCTATGAATTGGGCAAGGGACACTTCTCAAACATACCAATGAGTACAGTTTGTTGTAAGAGTTGCGGGAATTTCTCGTCCTCAAACTATTTGAGTACAGTTTCCTAGAAGATCCTTTATTATGAGACAATTAATTTATCCCATCTTATTACATATTACTAAATCCAGAACAGCCTGCCTCCTGGTTGGTTCCGCAACATCATGTTCCAAGAAACAATCTCTTATTCCACATTGTGAACTCTCCCTCATGGCTATCCCTAACAATTTGATTAATCTGGTCACCCATGGTTGTTGTACCTTCCTTATAAACCCTGAGTAATTCTTGGTTTATACTGTGTCATACTATGGAACTACTGTTAGGGGACCTATTAGATAACTGCAATCAGGGACAGGGTTGGAGTAATGGGGAACACCAGAATGGCGGGGAGACAAATCAATATTTTGCCTCAGATTTTCAATGTCAGAGAGTCCTTTGATGTGGAGGTAGCGGTGTTGGACTGGGGTTGACAAAGTCAGAATTCACACGACACCAGGTTATAGTTCAACAGGTTTATTTGAAATAACAAGCTTTCAGAGTGCTGCTTCTTCGTCAGGTGAAGTCACCTGACGAAGGAGCAGCGCTCTGAAAGCTTATGATTTCAAATAAACCTGTTGAACTATAACCAGGTGTCATGTGAATTCTGATAGAGTCCTACAGCACAGAAGAAGACCACTGAGTCTGCACCAACCTATCTACACGTCCCACTTTCCAGAACTTGGCCCATTGCCTTGAATGTTATGATGCTTCATATGCTCATACATTTTTAAAGTTTCTTAGCTTTCCTGCCTCAACTACCCTCCAAGTCAATCTATGTTTACATTCCCACCATCCTGTGAAAAGAAAATCCTGAAATCATCTCTAAACCGCTTGCCTTTCACCTTGAAAATTATGCTGCCTTGTTTTTGATCCTTAATCTAAGGGGAATGGTCACTTTCTGTCCCCCTGTCTGTGCACCTCACAAACTTATACACCTCAATTAGATCTTCCTAAGCCTTCTCTGCTCTAAAGAAAACCACTTGAGTTTATTCAGCCTCTCTTCATTGCTTAAAACGCTGCAACCTGGGTGACATCCTGGTGAGTATCCTCTGCACCCTCTCCAGTGCAATCACATGCTTAATGTACTGTGGTGACTGTAATCACATACTCCAGCTGTGACCTAACAAAAGCTTTGTATAGCTCCAACATAATTTCCCTGTTCTTATAATCTATGCCACAACTGATAAAGGAAAGTGTCCTATATGCTGCTTTAACCACCTGATTAACCCATTCCTGCCACCTTCAGCGATCTGTAGATGAGCATGCCAAGATCCTTTTGTTCTTCTGAGCTGCTTAATTCATTGAGTTGTCCCTGGACTGTAATTTTCTGGTTTCTCCCTAATGTCTTTCAAAAGTGGAACCACTTCAGCTGTCATCCACTCCTCTGGCATGTCCCCTTTGGCCAGAGAGGAATTAAAAA